TGCTCTAGAGTCCATACTGTCTCATTTATTTTAGCCTCTCCATAACTATCTCCTGCTGGCTGTGGATGCTCACCTGGGGAAATTTAAACTTGGCTCTTACACTGTTTTGAACCTGGGAAACAGAGGTTTAAAATAAGGTACAGAAAAAAAAAAAATCATGAGGTAAGAAAAAAGCTGAAATTTAGATCGGTTGAGAACAAAGAAATGACAGAATTTGTATATGCAATTGCCTGATAACAATCTACAGGCTTATCACAGTTTAGTGTGCAAACTGAAAATGGGTTGATGTTATAAAAAACTTGTTGGAGCATGTTCTCCTTGTACCACAAGACAGACTCCGCTTGGTTTTTCTGCAGTGGTCACCTTACGTCAGAACTGCACTTCGTTTCAAACTAATGAGCTCTTCGCTCCACAGGTCATTGTCTAGGGCTATTATCTGCTGTCTGAGAAAGAGCTAATCAGAGCTACAAGTATGCCAGGATCCTCACGGGACATCTCCATGCTCAGAATCCCATATCTTGTTTTGAAATTCTCACCTCAGCTAGGAAACTGTAAAGAAGTATGATGCCAATAAAAAGCAGAACATTGATATATAACACAAAAGCAAGTGTTAAAAAAGTGATGAGGCAGAGAAATCTGTAAATAGTTTAGAAAATCAGTTAGCTGAAGGCATGAAAAGGAAATGCAGAAGTTCTTGGTGAGAACATTGCTGAAGAAATACAGGCTAGGAAGTTCCTTCATGATAATAGATAAGGTACTTGCAAATTCATAGTATCAGACAGACTATTATATGACATACATAGTATTGCATAATATTAGATGTAAGTTGTAAAGCTTAGCCCATAAGTCATCTGAAGCACACTGATATCTGTGAAAATATCTGCATTGCAGTTATATCTGCAACGCTTCTGACACACTGATTTATTTGCAGGATTCAAAATAATTTCTGAGTTTACAGGACAAATGAAAGCAGTTATTGGGGGTTAACCCCAGCAGGCAGCTAAGCACACACAGCCACTCGCTCACGTCCCCCCTTCAACCCCAGTGGGATGGGAGAAGACAGAGTAAAAGCAAGAAAACTCGTGCGTCAAGATAAAAATCATTCAGTAAGTGAAGGTGAAGTGGAAGAAGAGAGAAAGAAAACAAGACAAGTAATACAAAGGCAATTTGCACAACACCAATCATTCACCACTGCCCACAGGTAGACTGATGCCCAGCCAGCTCCTGGGCAAAAGACAGCTAACGAACCTAAGCCCTCCGCCTCTCTCTTTTTATTGCTGAGCATGCCAAATGGCATGAAATATCTATTTGGTTGGTTTGTGTCATCTGCCTGGTTGTGTCTACCCCACCCCTGGGCGCAGCCCCTGGTCTGTTCACTGGGGTGGCAAACAGAGAAGGCCCTGATGCTGTGCACTGTTCAGCAAAACCTAAAACACTGGTGTGTTCTGAGCACTGTGCTGGTCACAAATCTGAAACGCAGCACCCTACGCGCTGCTATGAAGAAAATTATCTCCATCCCAGCCAGACCCAGTGCAATCTCCACTCCATATTCCATACCACTTATGACATGCTCATGTCCCACTCCATCCAATACAGCCTCCATAACCATTTCCCCTTCTCCTCCTTTAATTTATACACATACATCATTCCCTTAGTCTATGGGCCATTCCTGTAAAATATCTATAAAATGTTCCTAAAATGTCCACTGAATTAATTTAGTCCATGACTTGGGTGCTGTCTGTCCTGGTGGTCACTCAGGACAGGACAGGCATGTTGTCTTGACATTATGGGGCATCAAAACTAGCTCAGGCTGGGACATTGCTGCACTTCCTTGGCTTTTTGGGACGCTTGTTCTCTGGATTTCTGCTTTTTTTTTCCTAAAATATACAACCCAAATCATGGGTTATTTTCTCCCAAAGTTAAATCCCTTGAAGTATACATCAGATTTCCCCACCCTCCCGCACTGTGCACCAGGCGTACCTGGGTCCTTAAGCAAAAGCAGTTCTACAAACAGGTTTGCCTCTTCCCGAGGAAGGAAGGACCCCTCATGTTGTTCCATTCTCAGTCCATTCGAAGTCCATTCTCTACATGCACTACAGGGACCTTATCTCTTTCTACAAAGGGTTTTTGTTCGGGCAGATTCAGTCTGGTTAGCTAATCCTCTGGTATTAATTAGCCAAGTGTCTTCTGCTATATCTGCATCCCACTGCTGAGCTGTCCCAGTGCCCATTGCTTTCAGTATAGTCTTTAGTAGTCCATTGTATCGTTGAATCTTCCTGGAGGCTGTTGCATGATGGGGAACGTGATATACCCGATCAGTGCCGTATTTCTTGGTCAGGTGTTTATGAGATTGTTTCAGAAATTAGTCCCATTGTCTGGCTCAATTCTTCCTGGGGTGCCATATCACCACAGAATCTGCTTTTCAAGGCCCAGAACAGTGGTTTGGGTGGTGATATGGGTACTATACTGTCCACTCCTTGTTCTGCAGTATCTAGGGACAGCTGGATGGCTTTTACTTCTTCCCATTGACTTGATTCACTTTTCTCCTCAGCAGTTTCTGCAACTTGTCATGTGGGATTCCACACAGTAATTTTCCACCTCCAATGGTTTCCCATAATATGACAGGACACATCAGTAACCAAAGTGAATCATTCCTCATTGTCTGTTAATTTATTATACAGTGGGGCCTCTTCGGCATGAGTCACTTCCTTGGGCAATGCTCTGAAGTCTCTGCTTTCTGGACAGTCCATGATCTCTTCAAGGGTAAAAAAAGGTCCTTCCAGGAAGATTACTGCTCCAGTTGCTGTCAAGCAATTCCTGAGATGCGGTAGGTGGGCTGAGGACCCCATACGCTACCCACTTACTCCACATAGCATTTTTTGCATGACGGGTAGAGGGTATGTTTCCGTTGAACATGCAAAGCAATACAGTCAATTGTGGTGCCAAGGGAAGCTGAGCTTCAGAATAAATACTTCTGAAGCATCCTGAACCTTTTCATGGTCTGCTGGTATCTCCTTTTCAGTTTGGGTGTAGTGGGCCTCACATCCTCTATAGCCACAGCTCCAAAACCCTGGAGGCTGACCTTAGATTCCCCTGCAGTCCATGGTGAAAACCATGGTGAGGCTGGCCTCCTCCTGCAGCCATGGACGTCCAGTGTGAGCAGAGATTCACCTGCAGCCCATGGAGGACCCCAGGCCGGAGCCTGTGACGCTATGGGAAGCCTGTGCTGGAGCAGGCTCCTGGCAGGACCTGTGGACCTATGAAAAGCAAAGCCCATGACAGAGCAGGTTTGCTGGCAGGACTTGTGACCCTGTGGGGGACCTGCTCTGGATCATTCTGTTCCTGAAGGACTGCACCCCATGGAAAGGACTCATGCTGGAGCAGTCTGTGAAGAACTGCAGCCTGTGGGAGGGACCCCATGCTGGTGCAGGGGAAGAGTGTGAGAAGTCCTCCCTCTGAGTGGCAGAGACGGCATGTGATGAACTGACCAGAACTCCCATTCCCCATCCCCCTGCACTGGTTGTGGGGAGGAGATTGAGAAACAGCAGTGAAATTGAGCCCAGGAAGAAGGGGAAGGTGGAGGGGAAGGTGTTTTAAGATTTGGTTTTAGTTCTCTTGTACTCTGATTCGATGGGTGATAAATTAAATTGGTTGTCTTTCTCCCAAGTTGAGTCTGTTTTGCCCGTGACAATAACTGGTGAGTGATGTCTCCCTGTCCTTGTCTTGAGCTGCAAGCTTTTCATCGTACTTTCTCTTCCCTGTACAGCTGAGGAAGGGCAGTGATAGAGCAGTTTGATGGGCACCTGGCCTCCAGCCAGGGTCAAACCAGCACCACATGCAAGGAGCCCATGTATCTCTCTGGCTATGCTACAAGGACTGTTCACAGGTGTCATTCTACTACAGACCAGCACTATCCTTCCATGGTAGAAGGAGTGGGGTTCAAACCCTTAAGTCCATTGGATCAGTATCAAAAAGAGGAGAGGGGCCCTCAGCCCACCTACTGCATTTTAGGAATTGCTCAACAGCAATTGGAGCAGTAATCTTCCTGGAAGGACCCTTTTTTACCACTGCTTTTTCCCACAATTCACGTACACAGACTTCCAGGACCAAGGCAGGTGCACTGACTCACTTCCCCATATATTCTCCACAGTCACGCAGATGGAACCACAGGGTGGCATGTGGCATGTGCCCATGGTTCCCTTTCCTTTGAGCAGAGAAAGGCTGACTTGTGGTAGTTGAGAAGCTGTCCTGCAGGGGCAAGGAGGGAGAGGGATTATCCACATTCTCTCTTGATTTGCCAGAAACTTTGGAAGAGTCTTTCCACAGCTGAGATGCAGGCTCACTTATGGCAGGGAAGGGGGACAGAGGTTCTAGAAGGCAGAGCAGTCTACACGAAGTTGGTGTCTCGATGTCAGCCGAACCCTTCATTGCTAGGCTGCCGGTGCGTGACGTTGGTGTGCTCTCTACAGACTCCTGCCACACCGACCGTGTGCACTGCACATCATTCAGACCTTCAGGGGCCTGATTACTGTCCTTGTCACTGTAGTCCACCTCCACCACCGCTAATTCGCTCAGGCACCAGATACCTTCCTCAGTGGTAGTCCACCTGCCTCACTGTGTTACAGTATTTTCCCTAAGAGGGTACCTTGCCTTCATGCTCGCTAAGAGTCACCTCCGGAGGCTGCAGGTGGCTGCTCCTCTTCTGATCCCTCTGTCAATCCCGCAGTTCCTAGCAATGGACCCCAGTGCTGTGCTTCCTTACCTTCTAGTTCCAGACTGTTGGCCCCACTGTCCCAGCCCTGGAGCAACCAAGTATCAGTTTTATTTTCTTGCTGACAGACAAAATCTTTCCACCTGTCTTGCTGCTCAGTCATGGATAAGGACTGGGTAGTGCTTACCTCTTACAATCTCTGTTTCCTTCCTCCTCGTCCTGCTGCAGAACAGGCTGAGTCTTCTGATTCTTCATGTCCCCTCCTCTTAAGGAGGAGGTGCTGCTTCTCTTACTGAGTTGGCCTCTGCTTCCACTCTTCCTCGTTGACCACAGGAGCAACTATTACAGCTGGGGATTCGGTCTGTAGTTTAGCATCCATCTGTGTGACCTCACAGCAAGACACCTTCTGAATGCCCATTTGTGGGATCTTAGATCGCAGAATCCTCTTGCATCTCTGAGGGCACAGGACAGTGACTTGATAGGTGCAGCCCAGGTCCTGACACAGCTTTAGAAGCCACTGTGTTTCACCTCCCCTCCTTCAAATGGTGAATTAGTTGGATGGGTTTACAAGCATGTTCAGGTGTGAAATCCCGAGCTGTTGGAGGTAATAATGGCCCTACTCACCTGCCCAATTCCTCCCACCCCACGTATCAGTCACCTTAGAGCATGTTCCTGTATGGCATCCCCAATTAGTTATTTAACCTTATGAACAACAATCAAAAAAAGATCACCACACACACCAGTATGAACAGTCTGATTACATGAGGATACTGAAAGAACTCAGAAGCCTGACTGTGGGGTTACTTCAAGGATATAAAAACCTATCCTGGAGGATAGGAAGGGATAGGTACCATTCTTTCCTCTCTTCGCAAAATGCGTCTCAGAGGAGAAAAGGGGAAAGGTATAGTTACTGGTTTTATCCATGAGATGATTCTTGGAGTACTGGGACCCAGTGATGTAGGACCCAAATATCAGATTGGGTTGAAGGCCAGTGGTTTTATCATAGCTCTCCCAAGCCAAGGAAAACAGAGTGATGAACAACATACTAAACTGCAAAATCTGAAATCAGCCACTAATGATTCTTGGAGCCTGTTGTACAGCAAGCATTGGAATATTAGAGGAAACACCTAAGTCAGCACCCGAAGTAAATAAGCCAGCATCATGTTATGCAACAGACACTCAAATAACAACTTACCTAAACAGGTATAACCGCTAGAAGTTTAATCTGGCACACTGTAATCAAATCTGTTCTTATCTTGAAAGCCTTGACCCCTGTGTTGGGTGCCAAGAAGGACCGTTGTGGGTTAACCACAGTAGGCAGCGAAGCACACACTCAACTCACTTCCCCCCCACCCACTCCAGTGGGACAGGGGAAGAGCAAAGGAAGAGAAAAGGCAAGAAAACTCATGGGTCAAGATAGAAATTGTTCAGTAAGTGAAGGTGAAGTGGAAGAAGAAAGAAAACAAGACAAAACAAATGATGCAAAAGCGATCGCTAACCACCTGCCAAGGCTGACTGACACCCAGGGGAAGTACGGCTAACCTCCCTAAACCTCCTCCTCTCCTTTTTCATTACTGAGCATGATGTTTCATGGCATGAAATACCTCTTTGGTTAGTCCAAGTCATCTGCTTGTTTGTGTGTGTGTGTCCTCAACCTTCTGTGTATTCCCCAGTCTATTCACTGGGGGACAGAGGCAGAAACAGAGAAGGCCTGATGCTGTGCAAACACTGTTCAGCAAGACCTAAAAAATGCTGGTGTGTTATCAGCATTATATTGGTCACAAATCTAAAACACAGTGCCCTATGAGCTGCTCTGAAGAACATGAACTCCATCCCAGCCAGATCTAGCACACTAGCACAGCTAAAATAAAACAGCTCAGCCTCATATAGTCATCTTGAAACTGACAAACCAAAATACAACATTAGGTATCTCTATCTGATTAAGATGATCATCTGTTCAATCATCCATTAAAATAAAGCTGTGTTCCAGGGATTAGACAAACAAAATTCTACAAGATTATACAAGAATTAGACTTAAATTGTCAAATTAAGTACAGGTACGTGTAATGGTTTTAACATCTTTCAAAATTCAAGTTTTAGCCGACTGCTCTTTCACACAGTTATCTAAATAATCAAGTTATAATCAAATACCTGGCATTTCTTTAGTTCCCTCTTCAGCTGAAGAATCGTAATGTGATGTGGCTCTTGGCTGGTCCCTGTCCCTGTGTCAGTTTCCTGCATGGTGACAGCTTCCTTCCTTACTTCCTGAACCATAGTGATCCAGCTCTGCAGCCTGTCCCGCTGACTTCTTTTTAAGCTAACATCCTCATGCAAATCAACCAGAAATGGGAAGGCTTCATCTACACAATTTCTGTAACTGAAACATTGAACCTGAAGACGGGTGAGCTGCTCCTCAAGTGAATTGATACGAGTTCTGTCTTGATTTAAGTCGTGTGAACACTGATTACTGACCTGCTGGTTCTGCAAGGCTTCTCGAAGCAATCTGATTTCGAGTTCCATTTCATCAATCCGGTCTTGATCAGGGTTGTAATTTACAGCTGGTTTATTTCTAATGTTTTTTGCTCTGTTGGCATACTTGAGGGAATTTAAAGATTCATCAAAGTCTGATGAGGATGGACTGATGCACGTTATCATGACAGTCTTGGCGTTTCCGCCAAGGGAGTCTTTCAGAATACGAGTGATTTTAGCATCTCTGTATGGAATATGTACACTTTTCCTTTTTGGGTCTCCAAGGGCACTGATGACATTTCCCAAGGCAAACAGACCACTGTTGATCTGAATCGATTCTTTGAAGCGCTCGCCAGTATTTCCAGTCTTTGTCACCCTCTCTGATCCTGCCAAATCCACGAAATGAAACTTTGAAGCAATCACCTGGACTGATTTCCAAGATGAATCCTGTGCAGCATCAGTATTTTTTTGAGATTCTGCAGATTGTTTCTGACAAATACTGATCGTAAAAATGGCATGAGATCGACTAGAGTACTCATTCATTTGTGTTGTGCCTGTGTGACGAGCTGCATTGCCACTTTCCAACAGGCTTATCACTTCATCTGCACATTCTACTTGGAATTCCTTAGCTCCGACAATCACTTCAGGCACCAAACCAAAGGAAGAATAACTGAATTAATTGTAAAATCTTCAGCAAAAGTTTACAGCAATTAGGACTATTCAAACTATACACGTGAAACAGAGAAATATACAAGCCTGCATTATTATGAGGCCTTAGCATATAGCTATGTAACGTGGTAATATATTCATGTGTGAAAAGCATGAAGTACACACATCTGTAACCTGCAGATATTTAATATATGGTGTGTCATGTCATAGCATTTGAAACACTATCTTAAACACAATACACAGATCTACTAGTTTACACACTGTCATATGCTATTTGCAATCTAATGCTATCTAGAAAGAGTATGAGCTAAGTCAGCCCAAAGGATATTTTTCCTTTTTCTTTTTAAAAAAAAAAGACTAAACATAAAAAGTTTGTAGTAGAAATGATTCCTAGCCTATGACAGGAACAGAACTTCTGCTCCACATAGCTCAGGTAGTTGGGCCTTTTGGACAGGTGACTACATTATTAGTAATCTAATAATGCAGAAGTGTACCTCTACCAAATACTCCTACAAAGCATGTTTTTTGTTCTTTGTTTTAATTAAGGATGTAATATGTCCTATCACAATCATCTGAAGCTGACTTGAACTGAAGAAGAGCAGTAACTTAAAATACATTGTGGGGTTCTTCTGAAGCAATGATATTGTCTGCAAAACCTGTGCTACATTAGTGCGTTCTGCAGCTATGGTCAAGAAAAGCATGCCAGCTCGGTGTGACAGTGTATTAGTATTAGAGCAAAAACAACCATTACAACATAAAGAATAAAAAAATTAAAAAACCAAACTCAGATTATACACTTTCAGAATAAAACAGCTCTGCAGTGGATTCTTCTAGCATTTCCATGTAAGGGACAGGAGAAATATAGTATGGATGTTAATTTCAAAGCCTCCAAAAAATATCAGATGCTACTTGTAATGAAATGTTCTCTTCGACTCATTCATAGTGAAAGGAGGGCAGATATTTAGTGTATAAGTGGCTTAATTACACTTTTGAAAGGAGAAGCAGAGGTTTAACCTTGAAATACTTACTCAAGTTAATAATCACACCGTAGTGTGTTTCCTGACAGAATTTGCAGACGCAATAACTCTTTCTACTTTCTCATTTGTTGCCATTTCTGATCAATCATCTATATTGTTCACAGGCATCTAAACCCAAAACTGCTTCAAATCAACTAAACTGAGTTTCTATTCTGAAAACACAACCATTTTCTAGTATTTGCAAGAAATAAGCTCTTTCAAGAGAAGGCAAGAATAACTTGGGCACAGAACTGAAACCAAACATAGCAAATTTTAGAGCTGAAATCCCACCTGTATTACCCTTTTCATCTTCTCGGATATGTAATTCCTTCACAGAGGTCTTCAACTCCAATAAATCTCTAAGTTCTTCCTTGTAAAGCTCTATGTAAGACACTTTCACATGGAATTCAATGTTACAGTTTTCAGAAATATGCTGGAATAATTCCTGAATAGCACGTGGGATTATGCCCTTTTCATCCTCTGCAACTGATGCTAAAATATAAGAAAGATGTCACAGAAGCTTGCAGTCATTCTGCCACATAAATTACAAAGACTGAAGGCTGAGACAAGTCTGCGAGACTTGCTACCCAATATACTAAGGAATCTGAAGAGCTCAGTGTTCCCAAGGATTCTTGTAAATATTTATTTTTCTGAGGTTCAGAATATTTTTATGCATTCATTAACAGAATTCAAAGTTATGTTCTAAATTATGTGATGTTATAGTCATGAAATTATGAAAATTATGGAGTCTACTGTAAATATATACTCCTCAGAGTATAGATTTCTACATTATTCCTACTCATTATGGTTGGCAACAACATCTCCAGGGTTTGCGAAACTATAAATTCCACTTAAATCCAGCACTTGGATTAGTAACTTAGTGAGACAATAGTTCTGACCAACACTAACAGTAATTTCCTGTTTTTTCAAAGTAGATAGGGAACACTAATGCCAAACTCTGTAATTTTTTTCTTTTAATATATTTAGCATATGGCAATGCTTCCATAAATAATTGGTGGTTTTCATTCAAGAGTGTGGAAACTGTCTATGAGAGGATACCAAGAATCATTTTTACCAAAAAAAAGGGTTGCTTACATCTAATTTAGAAAATATGGGTACAAAACCAAAATTGCTGAGGTATGAACAGCCTTAGATTATGACATCCAGCACCTAAAGAATTTGGCTGGCAGTGTTACTTACAAAAATATTAAATAACTAGTACTAGTGGAAAGACAAGTGAAGTTGTAACAGTAAGCAGAATTAAGAGGCCAACTGTATAAGGTTCAACAACGCCAAGTGCCGGGTCCCGCAATTGGGTCACAACAACCCCCTGCAATGCTACAGGCTTGGGGGCAAGTGGCTGGAAAGTTGCTCAGAGGAAAAGGACCTGGGGATGCTGGTTGACAGCCGGATGAACATGAGCCCTCAGTGTGCCCAGGTGGCCAAGAAGGCCAGTGGCATCCTGGCCTGCATCAGGAACAGTGTGGCCAGCAGGACTAGGGCAGTAACTGTCCCCCTGTACTGGGCACTGGTGAGGCTGCACCTTGAATCTTGTGCTCAGTTTTGGGCCCCTCACTGCAAGAAAGGCATTGGGGTGCTGGAGTGTGCCCAGAGAAGGGCAACGGAGCTTGGGAAGGGTCTGGAGCACAAGTCCTGTGAAGAAGGGCTGAGGGAACTGGGAGTGTTACCCTGGAGAAGAGGAGGCTCAGGGGATACCTTGCTGCTCTCTACAGCAGCCTGAAAGGAGGTTGCAGAGAGGTGGGGGGTGGACTCTTGTCCGAGTAACAAGTGACAGGACAAGAGGAAATGGACTCAAATTGCACTAGGGGAGGTTTAGGTTGGATCTTGGGACAAATTTCTTCACTGAAAGGGTTGTCAGGCATTGGAACGGGCTGTCCAGGGAATTGGTTGAGTCACCATCCATGGAGGTATTTGAGAGACGAGGTGGACGAGGTGCTGAAGGACTTGGTTCAGTGGTGTACTTGGCAGTGTTGTGTTGATGGTTGGGCTTGATGATACTAAGGGTGTTTTCCAACCTAAATGATTCTGTGATTTTATGATTCTAAATAAAAAGAAGATTTCAACACCTACCAAGAGAATTAGAACAATCTATTTATAACCATTTGAAAGACTTAAATAATAAATTTGTCTGATGTAATAAAGATGTCTCTCAAAAAAAAAAAAGGGCAAAAAGTGAGCAAGCAAACAATTAATTGCTTAACACAGACATTTTCAAGGTAAGATAAATGTAGCAAGAATCTCCCAAAAACTGCATTTCAGGAAGAGATTCTAGTTTAAGTTGCATATTAAAATGGGGAATGAGAAAGAGCACTTTATAAACTGTTTTTTATAAACTCTTAGATATTTTTGGTCTAGCCTAATTTATGGAGAGTGTGGTTTTAGAACAGTTTAATTATCACATAAACTTTGGAAGCAATTTTATTTTCTTTACCTTTTTTTTTAGCCCTTCAAAATTCTGCAGCATCATCTCTTACGTATTAAATGTTTAATTTGCACAAATACATCGGTCATCAGTTTAAAAAAACGCAAGACTTTCTACAACCTACCAATGTGGCCACCTCCGATGGTGTAAGTCTTCCCAGAACCTGTCTGTCCATATGCAAACACTGTGGCATTGTATCCCTCTGTCAAAGACACTAGAAGAGGCTTAATGCAAACAGTATAAACTTCTTCTTGGGTTGAGTTTTTGCCAAATACAAAATCAAAAGTGAAGACATGGTCTTTGCCAATGATAATTTGTTGTGTATTTGGGACTAATCTCACACACACTTGGTGGTTATGAAGTATTTCTTTGGAAAGCAGAGGTCTGATTCGAACTGCAACTTTAACTGGGATCTCCTCCATGCCAGACTCCATCCCTGTGCTCCCCACTCAGAATTCACAGTCAAGAAATCTGTTAATCACTCCTCTTTTCACCTCATGCAGAGTTGTCTGCAACTAAGAGTATTTGGGACTAATCTCACACACACTTGGTGGTTATGAAGTATTTCTTTGGAAAGCAGAGGTCTGATTCGAACTGCAACTTTAACTGGGATCTCCTCCATGCCAGACTCCATCCCTGTGCTCCCCACTCAGAATTCACAGTCAAGAAATCTGTTAATCACTCCTCTTTTCACCTCATGCAGAGTTGTCTGCAACTAAGAGTTTTCCAT